AGAGAACCAATTGCCTTTGAAAATTTGCAAAATGCTTTGCCACTTTATACTAGTTTTTTTTCTTCACAGCCTGCTGTGCAGGAAGTGTCATAAACTTCCAATTAAAAACAGGAAGAATATGACATTGTTACTGAACTAGTTCATTCATCTAACATTATTAAATGCCTACTCCATGACCTATAACTTGTGCTTGTTCTTTTTATTACCTATAAATGTGTTCTAGCCTAGAGCCATTATTACTGTAATTATATTAATAGTATTCCAAAGTTATTAATTTAAATTTGACTTACTCTTTGAGCCTAATTATACAAAATAACCATTTCTTTGGAGAGAAAATTTACTGTAGAAAGTTGTAAGATTTCGTTTTATGAATGCGTCTTTTGAAAGAAAGCCAGAGCATCTGTGAAGCAAGGCAATTCCATTAAGCCTTGGCAACAGGAGAGAATGAATGACTGTCCGGTGTGCATATGAGGCCCTGGGAAGAACTGGTGCTCAGAAGGCCTTGGGTGTTTCTTTAATCTTCTCTGCGCTGCTAAATCTGTGGTTCTACACAAAATAATTGTGGCATACTCTGCTTTGATTTTTTCCCTGACTTTAATTGGAAAATAATGACTTCTCTCTCCTGCACATTGGGTTGTAAAGGAAAAAAGTATAAGTTGACAAAGAATTTTATAAAATTTGAAGTGCTTTAGGAATGTTTAATACAGTGGTTCCTGTCTGAAGTACTGTCCTCTCTAAAATAGTGATAAATCTAAGATGGGTCTGTCCTAGGTCCCACTCTGATGCTACTTATGACAGAAAGTTCTGAAAGGACTTTGCTAAAAACATTTTCATTTGCAAACTGGCCTAAAACGAGGACTTAGGTACAATGTTACATAGCAGAGCATACATGTTGCATGTATGCCATATAAAGAGTACTTTTTTATTTTCCATACCTTTTTCTAATAGAGAAAAAATAGAATTCATAAACCAAATATTTATCTTAACTATTACCTTCAAACTTATCCTTCTAAATTTTTCTGGTTATTTTCAGAAGAAGAACTAAATTTCAGTCACTCTTGCTTTCTCTTTCCCTCACAATGAAATGGCCAAATGATATGAACAGTAATAGAAGGAAGAAGCGGGAGTTGTGAATAGTTAACTGGACAGTTGATCTTAAATTTAAAATCATTGTCCTTATTATGTGGTTAAAATATAGAAGGTAAATAGTGGGTCCTAAACCTGAAGCTCTCGATCCTAGGGTGTTCTATTTTTCTATTTCTTAGCACCAATCAACTTTAAAAGATGAAGAGAAAAAAACCAAAAAATAATCATAAAGCATTATTTGGAGTTTTCAAACATGAATAAAAAATAACAGACCTCCTTCACTGAGCTCAGCTACCGTAGTTGGTACTTTACTGCATTATCTCATTCATTTCTAACAACAACCCAAAGAGAAATTAAGGCATCTAATAGTCCATTTTGCAAAGAGAAAACTGTGGCCTAGACAAGGTGTAGAAATTTATCCCAGGTTACACAGCCTCTAGAAATAGGATGGACATTTTATATAATGAAATTAAAAATAAGTATTTTCCAAATTACCCAGTAATACATATTCTTTATAAAAAAATCAAAGATATAGCAAATCAAATTTTTAAGAAAACATATATATGTTTGTATGTGTGTATATGATTGTACAAACACACATACACGTGAGTGCGTGCACACACGTGCACGGAGATCTCTGAAAGATATATAGTAAATTGATAGCATTAGTTAACCTTGAAAGAAGCAAGGTGAGAAGGTACCAGGAATGGAAATGATGGTCAAAAAAGTCTTTAGTTTTATCTTAAATGTTCCGATATTTTGCAGGGAGAATGTTTTCATGTATTAGTCATACGAATTTTAAGTTAATGATTTAAAAACTCTTAAAGAATAAGGACAGGAAGCTGAATACCAGATTAAGTTTAATCTTCTTTAACCAGCCTCTTTGTTCCCTTTCTAGGGACTTCTTCATTATAATACCCAACCAGGAATGCTTAAAAATTTTCAAAGATAATGTGTACATGAGTTACTTGGTATAGTAAAGTTATAAAATCATGTATAATGAAGTATAAGGTACTATATCATGGTGGCTCAGTGCACAGACCCTGGAGCCAGAATGCCTGAGTTTGAATCTTGGCTTCCTCACTGTGTGAACTCTCTGTGCCTTAGTTTCCTCATTTGTAAGTTTAGGGAAATAATAGTACTTATATAGGTCGTTGTGAGGCCTAAATGAGTTATCATCTGTATAGTACTTAGAACTGTACTTTGCAAGTAAGAGCTATAGAAAAGTTAATTATTATTATTTTCATCCTAACACTAAGAAAAAATGATGACAAATTGTCATATGTATTAATACATCCAGACATTTTTCTATGTGTGTGTGTATACATACACATATATATTTATACACACACATACACATATATTCACATGGGTAAATATAGACATGCATTTATTAGATTGGGTCATACTATTTCTATTTTTGTAACCTTTTGTACTCAACACCATATATTAATATTACTCCATGCCATTAAATGAAATAATGACTGTTTAAAACATAAATTAGATGCTTTTGCTCTTAACTAGTTGATCCTTACGACCAAATACATGCACATATGATAAAATTAAAATTTCTTGGAGCTATATTGAAAACCCAAAGTACTTACTGATGTTGATATAGCTTACTTAAATGGTTAATAGGTGTCACTGTATCCTACCTAGGATGATTATTATTTGCCTGACTTGTTAAGCAATGATATCAACATGTTAAATGTTTATCTTTGGAGTCAATATGCAAGATAGAATGCTGTTTTTGAAGTGTTGCAGTGGGAAAGACACTTGAGCACCATTCTTTGTAAAGAAGTAAAATGATCTACAAAAAGTACATTTATTATGAATAGAATTATTTTTTCCTTCACCTCTTTCTGGCTTTTCAGGAGATGTTTCACAAAGCAGAAGAATTCCTATCCAAAACAACAGAGAGTGAAGTGGATGACATGGACACATCAGACACCCAGTGGGGCTGGTTCTACTTGGCAGAATGCGGGAAGTGGCACATGTTTCAGGTATGTCCTTTCCTTGAATTTCGCAGAAGGGGTTTAGAGTCACTTAGCAACATCTTGCTGATGTATAAAATGAGTATGAGTGCAGAACTTGAAATCAAACCTTAAGGAAATCAAATAGCTTGACTAAAAGAAAAGTTAGAAATTCTTCTGGTCCTTTTCCTTTTCTTTTCCCCAGGTTTTCACAATCATTTATTTAGAAGAAACAGTATGGGTTTACTATGTGTACAGAGGGCGAGTGTGACTGAGAGTTGCATGGTATCAGTACATCTGAGCAACTCCAAGTTTGATTTGGTGGACAAAGAGAAAGGGAAGAACAAATCCATATTAAACACCTTCTGTACGCCAGGTATTATGTTAGGTGTTGTACATTTATTTTCTCCTTTACCCTCACAATCACTCTGAAGCAGATGTTAACACTCTGTTTTAAAGTCAAAG